GCACCTAATCAGTTATTTCCGTTAGAAGTAGCTAATCTCAATCCTTGGTCCACGTCCACTGATAGAGATTGCTTTTTAGGGGGCCAACTCAGAACGAGCCTTCTCATCTTTCCACCTGAGGATGGAAACAGATCAAGTTCCCGAAACGTTATGTTCTTTCATAATACTAAACGATGGGCAATATCAAGGACTCAATAATCCTAAGTGTAATACACTGTCACGCAAGGGAGTGTGACTAGAGAAGGGGTTTGGGTTTCTAATTGCATTTATTGAACACTTATACAACTCGTTACTACATTTAAAAAAATACGTAGCTATCGCACACAGACTAGTGTTCTTAGTCTGTTACAGTTTCCACTATTCGTTTCCTGGTAACGGCTTCTAACAGTGTAGATTCTTCAGCTTCCGAGCTCATTTCGTTGCCCTCTGGCTAATACTCCTAAACTGAACTCGTTACTTCAACTCATTAACTCCTAAGCTGGCGGCCATCTCGTACCAACCTCCTAGTCTTCTCTTCACAGACTGACTTAACAACTGAATAACTTCTAAATTTGTCTCGTTGATAATGCCTTGGCACGGATAGCGTAGAAAACACAGTTTCCAACAGTTCCTCTACTGTTGCGCGTATACTCGTCGTGGGAACCTGTTTGTTTCGTGTCGCTACCTACTAACGGGTATAGTACACGCTACAATAGCATCGTTAGAATTCTTTATTATTGATTCACCTCCGTATTCAAACGACTTGGAAAATTCGTTTCTTTATGTAGTTCAGCACACTAAGAAACCTTTGTTCTTAATCTTCATACGCTGCCACTGTTAAGTGGGTCGTCTAGCTAGGAAGACTATCCATGTATCTCTGTTCTTTCCATCGTAGCTATTCTACGCGTGGTTCACAGTATGAACCATAAACCTCTTTGAAATATGGTTCCTATTTGCTCCGTTTCTTGCGCTTAACTTGGCCTACTCTAATGAACATTTTTATTCTCTAAGACTCAAAGTTTTGTTCCTTATAGTGATAGACTATGATTCAAATGCATATGAAGAGGCAAGGAAATAGTAATTTCTCCGGTGATCTATGCAATGGACCATAAAATACTGTTGCAACACACAAACTCATATCTTAATACTGATATGATTTACAGTCATGTGGAGAAGGTGGCGTCACGAATGGTTTCAAAGCGAGTTACTGCACGGGAATAATATCCTGTTTGTAGTGTTAGGATTATTACCCCATTTCTCTAATGGCAGCATTGGTAGAAGGCTTGGAAGAAAGTGGCCACAAACAGAACATGAGCTACATAGCAACTGACGTTTACATCCTCCTAACGGTGGTTAAATAAACGAAGTTAAGGTGAATGGAGCGTTTAGAACGCACATGGAAACCATTTAAGTTAATCAAATTTTAATTGTGGGAATTTTCTGAGAAATAAAGATGGCTTCCTAACGATTAAATCCGTTCGTGGGAGGATAAGAGCTTAAGAACAGGGTAGTGATCATATTGGGTAAAGCTGACCGAGAAATGGCATTCATGCCTGTCGCGATGAACTTCCTGGTACAAATATCGAAGGCAGCTGGAGCCAAGGAACAGAACTCGATAGATATATGGGTACACGGAAGGACATTTTTAAAATTGATCTCTGACACACTGATTTTTAGGACGAAAGCTAGATTGAGCTGGCTTATGATGGTTTGTATTATAATATTTTCGTGAACAGTGTGAACATTCCGGTTTCAAGAAAGCAAGGAATAACATATTAAAAACCGTCGAGTTTGGTTTGAATTTTTTGTATATTTTCCTTGCTTCAAAAAATAAAAGTAGGCTTATGAGATCACCATGCTGTCTGTGTGTCTGTGAACCCCACTCCCCACATGAACTTTTGAATGCCTGCACCAATCTATATGAAACTTGGTATGTAGATATATCATGGCATCTGAGCTCATTTCAGCGCCGTACTTCATAAATCCCTCCCGTCAATCTGTGTGTCTGCATGTGTATCCTTCAACAGTTGCTAGGCAACGGCTCGGTAAAAACTATACCTTGGCAACGAATGAACACGAAAAATATAAGAATTGGTAGTGTCGCTTCCTATGCGATCCGTGTCGTATGAATGGAAAGTAGGTGATTAATTCTTCCTAGAACTTCTTGTTGTACTATATTTTACGGCGTCGTCAGTATCTAAACTACACAGCGTCGAATGGCAGGATGATTACAAAATTATGATTAGAAAGGATTTAAAAGGAAGAGGTTATGGCCTAATCGAGGTACTATCCTGACACTTCCCTGGATTGACTGAGGAAAACCGCAGAAAGTCTCAGTCAGGAAAGACGGTTTTCCGGCCCAGATTCAAACCTAGCACCTCCTGAATGCAAGTCAAGAGCTATACCGCTTTACTAATCTGCTTCATGAGTTGGTTAATTAATAGGTTATCCAACTTGACGTTAATTCTGAACAATCTGATTTTAGCCGTCAATTACGAAGAGAGACGCTGGTACAGCATTGCAGCGTGCTGTTCCATTTCGCATATCAGGTCTATTAGCACAATATGACGGAGGAAATAATTTTCAGCTGTGTTCTAAACAGCTTAGCGAAGATACAAATGAGTTCTATTTAAAGAGACATGACGAACAAACAAAAGCATGAATACAGCTGTCACCTGCGACTACTAGACGCCTTGCATCATATTAGCGCGGTTGCCATACAAGCAAGTGTTTGCCCTTTGATGTAAATTCAAGTTCCATCAGTTCGGCCCGAATTCAGCGAGGCCTTCTAAAGACTTCCAAGAGTTATGAGCCCAGTTAGTGCCGAATAAGATAGTTACGGAAGCTCCACGTGCCTGCATTATCATGGATGATGAGTGGGAACTCGGATAATCTGCGACTACGTGAAAAGGGCACTGGACTGAAGCAACACATACACGTAAACCCTGTTAAGGAACATTATATTTGATGTACAACAGGGTGGAAGGCCATTTATCAAATAACCAGCTTCTGAAACGTCGGAATTTTATTTCAGTACAATGTGGGTTTCTTCCGGTAAGACTTCACTGAATTATGTGTCGCGAAACTCTTGTGTACGTCCCTTTGAAGTCAATGCATTTTGTATGAACCATATCTCGATCACAGGTGTTCACACAAGCAGACTTGTCTACATCGGGAGGGACACTTTAGTATCGTCTATTTTAAAAGTACAATGTTACGGATTGGAGCCGTAGTCCATGCAGGTCACATTTAGGGCGCTATAAAAAAACCCTACAATCATTCAATATTGCTACCATCTGAGACGACAGCAGACAAAAATATAATGCAACTCTTTATCTATATCAAGAATTTCCAGTAAGTAACAGTTACTCGTACATTTTTCGAATCTGGGCAATCTGAGATATAACTTCATTTTTTTAAATTTATAATTAATACAAAATAAAATTAATATGCTTACGTTCAATACTACATTTTGCAAGATTTGAGGTTTTCACGGCGGTGACTGTGAAGAATACCGTCTTCTTGGATGCGGCGCCGTGTAAATATTAGCCTATGTTAACAAAAACAAAACGTATCGCCTCCATCTTCAGGGTATAAGAAATTGGCGAGCGATGAACCATCGTGAGCAGGCGTCTCTAGTCTACGTGTATGATACATTCCTCCGAAACGTCGGTTAACAAAATATCTACAGGGCGCCAAATCCCAGAAGACTGTATTCTTAAATGTAACATTTGTTTATTTATGTTCACAATTCACCCCTGAACCTAACTTCATAGGTGCCAGGATAGAGTAGACGGTACAGCGACTGGCTTCGGGCTGAACGATAGACAGGCCGGGGTTCGAGTCTCGGTAGTCAAAATTTTTCTCTTTTCCACACCGTTCAGACTGGCTCTGGGGGTCCACTAAACCTCAGACTGGCTCTGGGGGTCCACTAAACCTCCTATCAAATGGGCACGGGGGGCTCTTTCCCGGGGATAAAGCGGCGGGGGCGTGAACTTGACCACTCACATCTAGCCAGTGCAGAGGTCAAGAAAATGTGGATCTATGCATCCACTATCTCATACGCCTTCATTGCATATTGCTTCATTAGTTAAGCACAGCGACAACTCTACTTTACTTGCCTAACTTCATATTCATACTAAACGGAAAAGCTATATATCGAGTCAAAGTGGCAGCAATACTAGTGACTTAAATTCCAAAAAACGTATTAAAAAGGTTACATATAATTTTAAGATTCTTTCTTTTCCATGTCAGTGCAGGATTCCACAAATATACGAGTATTATAGTTGCACTCCCGTTTCGTAAATTTACACATGTATTTCTTGGTATCACTGGCGATAAGACATTAAAGGGCTGAAGTAGCCTCTAAAAGCATTACATACATATTAAATTTTATGAAAATCTACCAAATTATTTCAAAACCTGAGCCAGGACCTTCTCTTATAAAGGTAAGTAATGTGAAATAAATAAATGCAAGCCTACTTAATTGTTTCTTGCATCCTGTTGTGTATTTAATCAATATTAGAGTTAATTTTACCGACCACACAACACGTTTTTATTTACTGTCACACTATATGTTTCGACATCAAGAGGTCATCCTCAGGTGTACGAACACAGTTGCACAATCACACGCAATCACATTCGTTTTTCCACTTATTTTGATCCTGTATCCTGTTCAGGTCCACGCTCAATAATATGTGTCAAGTTCTTCTTATAAATTAAAAATACAAATGTTAAAATTTAAAATTTAAATTTTAAATTATTATTGTGTATTATTGAGCGTGGGCCTGAACAGGATACAGGATCAAAATAAGTGGAAAAACGAATGTGATTGCGTGTGATTGTGCAACTGTGTTCGCACACCTGAGGATGACCTTTTGAGGTCGAAACATACAGTGTGACAGTAAATAAAAACGTGTTGTGTGGTCGGTAAAATTAACTCTAATATTCTAAGCCTGTACTTGTGTTTTAAGCACCCGAAGACACTAGCAGTTACACAGTTTTAAGGAATCATTACTCACTTGCATATATATCTGCAACGATATGTGGTCATAAACTGCCAGTCATCCCCTAAAACAGAAACAGATTTCGGTATTAACATCTTCTTCCATTTCTGCATTTATTAGTAGTATCTATGTTGTCTTATTCACAAGAAACTTTACTACGCCGCGGAAAACAGATATTATGCACACGGAAACACTTGGTGAGTCGGGAATGTAAGAATCCCGGACTACACTGGTGAGCCTAGGACTAAAATGGAGAGCCCCATGGATAGCCTCAACTTCTGGTCAATGCATCACGGCTCCTACATCTTGCTCCGGTCACACTGTCAACTGATCGAGAGTGATTATAGACGGGGTTTGAATTGATAACTAGATTTATTGCACACGCATTTAACTCGCGATTACACGTTACAAGCCACACACACACTCAGATTAGTATCCTCAGCCACGTTGCTTGCTAACAGCTTTCGTGTCCACGATCCCTGTTCTCGCTGGCTGGTACCTTTCCGCTGCAGCTCCAGAACTGAAGCTGCAGACTGACTCCTTATGTAGCCTCGGCACGGATCGTATAAAACACCGATTCCAATAGTTAATGTATTGTTGCGGGTTACATAGCCGTTGCCTGGTAATGGCGGTTTCTCTGGCTCCTCAATTATTGCTATGCGCAAATATGGCACATTGCTCCCTCCTTAAGGCTCTTCGTCGCGAGTAGCCTATAGACGTACCATCATTTCTTCTTTTCCGTGTAGACGTGCCTGTGGCAGGTGTATTAATTCTGGCGGATGATATTTCAGCGTCTTCCTGGCGCCTTAATACTTCCAACTTCGACGGCGCCAAGCTTTCCTCCTTCGTGGATAAGGCGACCTGTTGTTGTCCTCCAAATTCTCCAACTTCCCCTTCCTTAGGGCCACGCGTCACAAGTTCTTTGGTAAGTGTGAGACGGTCCAGGTGTACGACGACAATCTTTGTTCCAGGGCTCATCAAAATCCTGTAATACACATTATTTATCCTGGTGACTATCTTGCATGGACCTTCCCATGAGGACTGGAGCCTGGGCGACTACTCTTTCGTGCGAGTTTGACGATAGAACCATACGTTGTCACCTTCCTGGCAGCCCAGACAATTGCCCAGGCGGTCGTCACGAGTCTTCATTCGGTTACTGGTCAGATTCAGATGTTGGAGTGCATAATGTCGTGCGGATGCTACATTAGATACGCCGCGGGATCATTTGTGAGTCGCTTGTTGTCGGAGGCTACCAAAATAGCAGGTCACAGTACAGGCGGGAGTCCTTTTCCGAACACTTGGATGGCCAGGGTCAAGTCCGCAGTGTCGTTGGTGGATGCCCTGTAAGCAAGAAAGGTGGATAATCTTGCGTCCCAATCCCTCTGGTGTGATGCGACTTTTTTCAGGTGTTCCTCGACCGTTCTGAAGTAGCGATCCACCATGCCGGCCGACCGTGGGTAGAGAGACGTAACGTGTGTCTTGCTCACTCCTAGGCTTCCAAAACACCTTGCATTAGGCGGGAGTTGAAGTTAAGGCCCTGATAGCTGTGTGACTCTGGCGGCACTCCGAAACGGCAGAAGTTGGTAACCAGAGCTTAAACTACTGTAGACCCCTCTTGCTTGGGAAAGGCGCAGGCCTCCGGGCACTTGGTAAAATAGTCCATAGCAATCGGGAGGTAACGGTTCCCTTGGTCCCTCTTCAACAAAGTCTGTTGCCTGCAGCCCGTAGTACCTTTGTCTGATCTTGTCTAGGGTACAGTTAACATCCAGGTGTCCTCCAGACGGTCCGCCGTGTAGTTCGACCAATACTGCCTTCAATTTCCACCGAGGGAGGAGTATCTGAGCTATTTGAGACCTCCGTCGGGGGACTTCCAGTGACAATCCATTATGCCGTCTCTTATTGAAAGACTTCCATGGGGTTCAGTAGTCCTTGTACGTGCGGCTCCGGTGGCCAATATCTTTCCATTCCGGGTGTTAACCATCCTCTAGTTCTCTTAGAATAAGCCCTACGTCATGGTCTTTCAGTTGGTTCCTCCGTATCGTGGCTGGGTCCCATCCGTCCGCAGCTACGCTCGTAACAGCTCGTACCAGCTCAATTTCTGACAGTACCTCGACTTTCGACAGTGTTTGCACTCTTCTCGGCATCGCCGTCTGGAAAGAGCATCGGTATTGTTGTGCTTCCGGCAATGATGGTGCTCGGAAGTAAAGATGTATTAATGCAGGTGCTGAACCCAGGGGATTGTTTGCCTTTCGAGGTTCTTAAAACTCATCAGCCAGGTTAGTGCAGAGAGGCCGATGCGCAAGTGGAACTCCTGTCCGTAGAACTACTTAAGGAAATATTGAAGTGCCTTCACAATGACCAGTAGTTCCCGCCGGCTGATGCAGTAATTCTTCTCCGCCTTGTTCAGAGTCTTACTCAAATAGGCTAATACTCGCTACTGTCCGCCCTGTACTAGGGACAGCACTCCTCCAATCCCGACGTCACACGAACCTGTGTCAACGACGAATTTTCTCCTGGCTGCTGGTATGCAAGGGCTGGTGCAGTACAGCGAGCGATTTCCCTGGTCCCCAAATTCTTGCTTTGGGCAAATGTACCATAATATATTTTTAACGACGCTGGATCGTCTGCTTAGTTACACAATACAGACTGAGACATGTCAGAAACTTCGGAAATGTTGAACTGCGAGAAAATAATACAAATAGTCTTGCCTCATTTCAAGATCGTCGTAGAAGCGTGAGTAAATGAATACACTTATTAAGTAGAAATGATATATTACTGACGATAGAGCATGACTCCCGGGTATTGTAAACAGCCTTTGTATATTGTATCCACACCTACATTTTACACAACCAATCTATCTTTTATATTGTCATTTCTACTTTCTACATGTATTTCACCATTCTACAGTGTCTGTGAGAAATAACAAGAAACAGATCATCATCTCACGCAGAAGCCAGTAGAAGTATCCTTGCTGAGTACATAAATCAGTAACTAAACAACAATTCAGCAAACAAACCAAGCAACCCTACGCTTGGCCGCGCCACTGCTCAACCGGTTAATCCTTGGCTTCCCTCTGCGGCGGCCCGGGTTCGATCCCGGGTCTGGTCAGGTGGGATTTGTGATGGACAAAGTTGCGCTGGGGCAGGTTTTCTCCGAGTACTTCGGTTTCCCCTGCCAATCTTCATTCCACCAATTGCTCCACAATCACCCTCACCCATCATTTGGGGCTGGTATAATAGGCCAGGAATGGCCGCAGGACAAGGGACTTAGATCAACTCCACTAGAAAAAAACCCCTACGCTTCAGGGTCTCAATTCAGAAGTTGGCACTTATTCAGATATTCAAGAAATTACCTATCACTTGGAACCAGAAGTTTCACAGTCTTCATAAAGGCAACGAAGTTCAATTCAGTCCACCTCAATGACCCAGATTTGTTTTACTACCGTCCTTCCATCCACACATTGCTGCCCGTCCTACTGAGAGACACGAAACTGCTCTATTAATAAACCCTGGGGAATATTACAAAGAAAATCTATTGTAATACAGCAATAACAGAAATTATGTCGATTTAATAACATTGGCTAATGCTAGCAATAAATTAATTATTTAGAAGTGAAAGATTAAGGCTGCAACAGAATTTTAACACAATGCATTAAACACCCGCGAAATTAAAATTAGGGCAAACACAGCTTGCATGTCAGGGGCACCTTCATGTCACCCCCTGCCTTGCGAAGTTACGCAGACCGCACGCAAACTGCCTGGGTTTCATATCGACGTCAATATTCAAGCAAGTGGCACTAAAATATCTGTACTGTGTCCACACGGGACAGCAGCCCCCTATCCGGCCCAAGTGAGTATCTGACACGTCTATTTCTCTATTTTATATTTCATTATGAAGACCGTGAAGACAGCCCTGTTCTAGTGAACAAACTTCTTGGTATAGTCTCTCCCCCGAAGTTGACTTGAGGGGACGGTCGCCACATATGAAGGGTAACTGCGAATTCCTTGAATAAGCAGTCGCGGACAGCCGATAAGGTGTGGCCTTCCAGCTATGAATTTTGGCGGGAGGGAAGCTAAAAACTGCTCAAATAATAACCAGCAAGTGACAAAATGTTACATAGGCTATGGGACTGGAAGGGATCTTCTTAGGTTGGGTATCGACTGCGCGCGGCTGCCGCGCGCAGCTGTTCGTGGGCGGAAAACTCGTTCGTTTGTTTACTGTGTTCGTGTCCAGCATCGAAGCGCGGCAGCCGCGTGGGGCTGTTGATCGACGCTGTTCTTCAGTTCTTGTGAGATCACCATGAACACTGCCTGTGCAGCGGCTGACTTTATGTTCATGTTCAACATTATCGAAGAGAAATAGAAACCGAAACGAAAAGTGCGTTGCTGGATGAAGGAATTGTAGCGTCAGCGAATGCAATAGGGAAACAGATTTATGCGAGATATGACATTTGAATTAGTGGAAGATAAAGTTAAAAATTTTAGGCGAATGTCATTATCATATTTCGAACACTTAACTTCATTGATCGAGCCAAGCATAATTACAGACAATATGAGAGGTATATAAGCAATTTAATAAATATATTTGTACCAGAACCAGTTATGTGAGACTTCTTAATTCGGGAATTTTCTCTTCTGTATGAAGAAAATAATATTGTCATCTTTTTTTTAAATCTTGAACTGGAATTTTCATTTCGTCACCTATGTTCTTCAATGCGATCTCGCGTATACTTTTGTTACGGTAATTAGCACTTTTTGATTTCCACAATACATCTTTAGAGTTATAAAGCTGTATGACAGCTAGACACTTTCATTCTCCATTTTGCCGCGAAAGAAACACCGGAACGCCACAAGACCGTCTCAACTGGAGAAGCACAGCACACTGAAATCCCTTTGCCGCGTGACAAAGAACCGCTCCGATTTGGCTCGAAACGCGCCAAGTTCGCTCGCCACAGTGTTCGTTCTGCCGCGCGCGGCAACATGGTATCGACTCGGTGAGGCAAATCAACGAACATTGCCTCGCGCGGCAGCCGCGGGCAATCGATACCGGCTTTAGTGGTTTATT